GAGGAAAGGAAGAAGGGAAGAAGAGAGGGAGGGAGGGAAGGAAGGAACTTTAAATGCATCAAACTTTCTTTACTAGTGTATTGACTACAGCTATTATTTTCATACTTCTGTACTGTCTGCAAATAAATGTATAAAGCATTCATGAAAGGATTTAGATTTTTTCAAATATTGATGTATTTTCACAATAGTATTAATAATTATACACTGCTTCATACATCTCTACATGTTTTGTGCTATGTTATTTTTAGGCTTATCTGAAATTAGAAAATCTGCTCCCTATTCTGCATGTTGAGGTGTTGGCTGTAAACCCCCACTCAGAGGAGATGTCAGCTGCAGTGCTCTGAGCCACATAGGATCGCACTAGTGTCTGGATTAGGGAACTGAATTTCATCAAATCTATCACTGGGATGAGGCAGCAACCCTGTACCAATGGGGCAAGGTCTCAGATACTCAGAGGACAACCAATTCACCAAAACATTTTCTTCTGAGGGTTCCCTCAATTTACCTAGCACTATGTTTTCAGTTTTTCCCTCAAAAAACCAGAATTGAAGTTGAGAAGATATTAAATGAAGTGATACTGAAAATCTGGGGCAGTGATTGGCATTTAGGAAAAAGATGTTTGTCTTGTAACATCATGGTTCCCAACTACAATGAACACAAAGCATGTCCCTTCTTTGTCTCAAGGTGCGCCACCACCGTGGAGCACATCAACCAATCCAAGAGAAATGGGATGAGGAGAGGTGACCTTCTCAGAAAAGTGATGATCCTCCTGGGGAGAAATCCTCCCAACCCAGGGCCTTGTTTTGTTTTTGTTTTTATTTGGCAATGAGACTATCTTGGAGGGGAAATTATGTAAATTTGGATAGTAGAGTAAAGGCAAACTATACAGAGACATGGTGGAGATGAGAGATGAGAGAGGTGGAGAAACAAAATAAATGCATGCTAATGACTCAGTATTCATCTTGCCAGGGTAAATTACAGAATTTGAAAAGGAAAAGTGCATCCAACAGTCTAATTCTAAAGATGAGGAAACTGAGGCCTCCAGAGTTGAAGAAGTTTGCCTTAGCTCACACAAGTAATCTCTGGAAGTTCTGAGCCACCATGAGAGTTTTTCTGGCACTGAGGGCATTTCCCACCACACTGACACCACGTTGTGTCCAGGTTCAATTCCATCACAGCTATGAACCTTCCTCAATTGCATCAAACGCCCACTGGGATCAAAAGGTTATCCAAGGACTCCTGCTTCCTATAACTCCTAGAGTTCTCAGTTCAAGGGATGATGCAGGCATTGCCAATGCATGGATTAGATTAGCCATTGCGGGCCTGTACAATAGCTGAATCAACCTATGGGAAAACTTTGGCTCTCTTTAATATTCTAGTTTTTTAAGAACACCATTACAAATATCTGATTTCAAAAAAATTAGCAATGTCTTCAATTGATCATCATAAGATAAATATCTATATAGATATAAAATTTCTTTTTTTTCTTAAATTCCAAGTTGCATAGAGCTACTTCTTCTGTGTAGCTTTTCCTCATCACCAACTTCTTTCTTTCCACCTCCCCAACTTCTTTCTTTCCACCTTCCCAACTTCTCCATTTGTTTCTCCATTTCTCTGTACAGATGCCACTCATGTGTTTATACATTCAACCAGAAGGTAAATTTCCTGAATGTGGGAATCATTGCTCACCTATCTTTTTATTCACTTCATCTCAACAGGCATAGCCCTTGACATCTTGAAATCATGCAGTAATGTTTTTCGAATAAAGGTTTGACACTTTCACATTTATAACGTAAATGAAATTTTTAAAATAAAAAAAACAAAACCCTCTAGGTTGAGAATAAGAATACTACAAAAATTTCAATCTAAAAGGAATGTTAGAAATAACCAAACACAAGCAGTTCCTTTTACAGATGAGACAACTGAGGTCTAGAGAAGTGAGTGGCTCAGAGTCACCCAGCTTGCTAGAGACTGAACGAAGATGAGCACCCCGGTTCCCTGGCTCTGTCCACGGCCCTTTCTTCTATGCTTCATGCAATCACTCTATAAATACAAATTGAATCATTTAGATATTAAAATGATTCCTAGGAAAGTAGAAAAGTATAAATGCCTTGGATTATATATTAGAACTTTGACACATTTCACTCTCTGTATCCAAATTTGTAACAATGCCTGGTATATAATAGCTATTCAGTCAGTTTGGGTTTCCACATCCCCTTTTCCCTTCTCTTCAAATTTGCGTATCAAGACTGCTAATAACCAAGTAGGCGGCACCTGTGAATCAAAGTGAGGATGTTGACAGAGATACCATGGATGCTCGTAGGAGCCAATGGTACTGATCCCAGGTGGGTGATGGAAGTGCTCCCCAAAGTGCATTCTCAGGAGAAATGGGACTGTCACGGTGGGAGGCCCTGGTAGAGATGGTCTCAACACTGTGTGAGGAACCTGGTCTGTTTTCAAATGCCAGATCCCTTCTTCCTCAGCCAAATGTACCTCTTAGAAGATAGACTTCTATTTGTCAGTAGACTTCTTTGGGATACATGAGCTGAATCCTTGAGATGGTGGATTCTTTGGATACAAATTTCTGTATATAGAGGGTCCCCTAATAAGTTATGTACCTCAGTAGTGTGAGTTGAACCATTTAGAATACCTCTTAGCTTCTACACTTGCATGTTCTGAAGTCTATTCTGATCCTTAAATTTGACAGTTCTCTTTAATATAATGGAGCCCTTTTAATACTGCTTGGAATTAGCTTACCACTTAATAAATTCCTTCCAACACTATGTTCTGTGAGTCAACAAGCAGCTTCCCCCTGTGATTTGAACCTGGCTAACAACAAATTAGACTTGGAAGAATAATTACTAGGCAGAGGCATTTTTCAGGTGGTACATTCCCACTTTGAGGAAATTTGGTCATTTTACTTTTGCATTTAAGATGTCCTTTGGCTGAAAATAGCACGAGTCAATGTTTGAAATGTCCTCCTCTGTATCACTGACTGTTGATTTCTAAATTACATTTTAGGCTGGACAAACACCAAAAACATTTTTCAAACAGTTGAAAATGCCACGATTGAAAATTATTTAAATCATTTACAATACATAAAAAGCAGTAACTTCTCAGCAAACATTTTAACTAGGTTTTTATTAAGAACCGACAATGGATAGCTTTGTGCTGAACACCGTGTAAAGCATTAAAAGATGCGTTGGTATAATTATTTTCCCTAAGTTAATGCCTGTCCCTGACACATCTTGGATTTTTCCACCTTTGTGCTAAGTAACTTGATTCAAAAAAGAGTTGCTAATTTGCTCACGTATAGTCACTACGATTTTGCCACATGTTGTTCAACTGAGTAAGTACATTCTGAAATCAGACAGTTTACAGTGTCAGGTAAAAATTCTTATAAAGAGGACCCAGTGTTTGGAGTTGCAACTAGTTAACTTTGAGCTTCTACTTGAGACAAAAAGTGACTTCATTTTATTAGAGAAAATGTCAATCAAGACGTAAGTACTGACACCCGTCTTTGTTTCACCAGCCAGTAATAAAAGATAAGGCAGAGGAAATGGAGGAACTGCAGTTATGCATTTGCAACACACAAAGTCCTTGTTTTCCCACTAGGCGCTGCAGAAAAGCAATTGTCCATTCACAGCACATCCTCTGCATTTCAGAGCTAATATTTTTGCAGTTCTTAACTTGGTACATTACAGTCTTGTGCAGTTAATTTTGTTAACCCTTTGAAATGCACTATGTGTTTGATACCTTGCTTAATATTACTGCTAACATGATCCCGTTTTAAAGATTTCTGGTTCTCAATGTTAGAGAAGAGAAACTTTAAGACGATCAAGTAAGAAATTTTGGAACAGGGTAATGGTTTCAAACAATCCCATCTTATTTGCTATTGCATAACTTTGAGAAGGATAATAAGGAAATTCATGGTAACCATGTATTACTTGAATTGCTTTCGCAAAAATGGACTGTTTAGATAAGAATGATTTTTAGCAGGGGTCCCCCTCAAAACATAATAATGTGCCATTGAAAACAACATTAGCCCTGTGTTTAAGTGCCCATCTTCCTGCGGCGTTTCGTGTGTTTACTTGTATATGAATGCATATGCCTGCCTTCTGCTGCAAAGAGGTTTACTCTATCATTGCAACAGTTACTCTGGCTAGAGTATATGAAGAAAAGCATTTTTAGATGATTAATTAGTCCCCAGGCTCAATCACTTAAGTCTCTAATTAAATATCTGACTCTGCTTTCACTATTGTAGGAAAAGATAGTTAGCAAATTTACAGTGCTAATAAAGAAGTTTTTCTTTTCCTTTATAAATAATAATATCTAAATCATTGGTCATATAACTCACTCAGAACCTTCATCTCTCCTGCTGACTTCTCAATCCAAAATATTTTTTTAAAAAATGCAACAAGGGGATGAAGAATTTTCCTCAAGAATTCATTTTTTGGACACCTTTTATTGATTTTTCTACTGCCTTCAATCTCACTACCAGTTTCTTTCCCTCTTCCTACTCATTTCATCTTGAAGTCTGCTATCAACCAACATGAAAAACTCAAGAAAAAAACTGATTTTCTTCTTTCCTGTTCTGCAACCCTCACCGATCCCTTTACCAACATTTTCCTATTCTGTCCCACCAAAAATGAAAATGACCCAACTCTAAAGATTTACATGGAGAAGAAATATTGCATTCATTTTTTTTTAAAAGCCCTCCTTAGTAGGGGCTCCAAGTGCAGTGAAAATGCCGGAGTCTCTCATTACACTGATTGGAATGAAACCCTGTTTCCCTCAAACGGTTAATTCAGGGTAAGTGATAATGTTTAGTCAGTTCGTCTAGAAAAAGGAAGGAAATTCAAAAGCTGGTTGCTGTAGTAACAATCACAGACCAAAAAAAATATATGTACAGGTTCATTTTAAATAAAAATCCTGCCATCTCTTTGAGATTCTGTTCTCTCAAGAAAAATGAGCTTGCCGCTTAAATTTGTTGTACATACCTCAACCATTAAACAAGACATTTAACCATAGTGGCAGTTCTGTGACCTTTGAATGCCGTGAAATCTCTGAGCGGTGCTGCTTGTTCATGAAGACTTGTGCTGCAGAATCCAGCAACTTCATCCAGGATTAGGAATATAATTAAGTAAAAAAAAAAGAAAAAAAGAAAAAAGAAATAAAGAAACACAAAAGCACACAGAGAGATCGAGAAAGGAGGAAGGTAGGAAGAGAGACTCTCTCTGGGTGAGGACACCACTTTTCTCCCAGACAAGTGCTGGGACAGAGCCGAGCCTGCTGCAGTGCCCAGACCGCCCGACTGGCTGGGTGAGCAGCCGCCGGCCTGCTAGGCTGGGAGGTGCTGTCAGTTGCCACAGGCAAGGAAAAGCAGAGACCAATCGGCTTCAACTCTGGCAGCTTACTGGAGTGGAGCCTTTTCTGTTTATGTTTCCTCATTTCAAGAGTGACGTCAAAGGGTTTAGTTTTTCCTCTGCATGTGCTATTAATTTGAAAGTACTGTACTATGGGAAGAATGTGTGTGCCTGTGGTCAGCCTGGGCACCCGGCTCTCAGGAGAACCCAAGAAACATTTTCTATATTCAGGAGTAAATTTTAAAAATTTAAAATACCCCGTGGTTAGGTGGATAAAAGCAAAACCAAAACAAAACAAAAATTAAACAACACACACACAAGAAACCCTGAACTAAATAATAGCAACAAGATTTATACTTTTTTCATATGTAAGTGTATGTGCATATGTCCCCTTCACAGCTGTTGCTTATTTTTGAACTAATTCATTTTTACTCTTACTGAAAAATGCGTTGTTAATTAACTTTGATAGCCATGGATGCAGAATTGTGTAAATGAGCTGGTGAACAACATTATGTGCAGTGAAAAATAGAAATCCTGTATTAGTTTGTGCTGCTGGCTCCTGCTTTTCTTCTTTCCTCCAGCTTCTGTGGTGACGCCTAAGGATTGTTCATGCTGGGGACACCCCTCCTGCAATGCCCACAGGAGTCATTCAAGAAGCAGGGCGTGGTGACACCATGCAGGCGTGCCTGGGGTATTGGCATGTCCTTTCCCAAAGCGTGTGAAGGTACAGTTATTTAGGGATGCTGCTTCTACCGGGGGGGCCCCAGCTTATCCCTGTGTTTTTCTTCCCACTCTAGAAATATCTCCATGGTGGCCATCTGTTGTTTCTGCCTCCCTCATATCCTCCTCTTTCTCCCCATCCCCACCCCAAATTCTGCTAACAGAACTCCTTTTTTCCCTTTTCCTTTCAGGAACTTTCCTTTCTCTATCTATGGATTGCATAGACTTCCCCACCAGCCCCACCCCCACAATGGCAGTACAATAGGGCATGTGACCCATGCCGGCCAATCAGATTTCTCCATTGCTCCAGATGCAGAAAATGTCTTAGGGGTAGGTACAATATTCTAGAAAGTCGATGGTTCTTTTTCAAATATTAAGATTGGTTCTTTGAGAAAGAAGGTGTTTATATCTCTCTAAGATCCTAGGTGCCAGGGTTAAGCAGCCCTGTAGTTGCTGGGGTTTAGCTTTGGTGCTAAAGATACAGCAGTGAACAAAACAGATGCATTTTCTCCCATGGAGTTTATATTTTGGAGAAGTTGGGAGACAGGCAAAACATTAAAAAGTAAATATATAATGTCGTGTGGTAATAAGGGCTTCGAAATAAAGTAAGGTAAGGGGACAGGGCAAAGTGTGTTTTGTGTGTTTGTGTGTGTGTGTGTGTGTGTGTGTGTGTGCGCGCGCGCACACGTGTGTTTGCTATTTTAGGTAAGATAAGCAAAGAAGCACTCTAATAAAGCAACTTTGAGCCTGCATGAAGGGCAGTAGCAGGTCCTGTGTGTCTCTGCATTCCAGGCAGTGTAAAGGCCCTACACAGGTGAGTGCTTGGCAGATTCAAGGAACAGAGAGGGAAATAGGGAAGAGAATGAGCAAAGGGAAGAAGTGGGTTCAGGGAGGTATGTCTGGGACAAGATCAGGAAGTGTCTTGTAGGCCATGTAAAGGTTTTAGACATTATTCCAAGATGGAAAACCTATCATAGTGTGCTTATGATCTGACATAAATTCTAAAGGGAGCTCTATGTCTGTTTTGTATGGAAAATAGATTCCCAGGGAGCAGGGGCAGAAGCAAGGAGGCAAATCATGAGGCCACTGCACTAACGCAGGTGAAAGATCATCACGGCTTGGAGCTGGGTGAGAGCAGTGGAGAAGGTGAGAAGGCCAGATTCTGGAAGGGTGTGGGCGTATTTGTAGATAGAATTGGCAGAATTTGGAGATGTGAGGCATGACACAAAGAGAGAAATCAAGACTAATTCCCAGGTTTCTGGATTGAGCACACCCGACTAGACTTGCCATTTCCTGACATGGGGAAGACTGGGAAAAGATCTCAGTTTTGAGGTGAAATAAACAGCAGTTTATTTACCTTCATTTAACAGCAACGGATATTTGTTGATTGTCTACTCTGTACCAGGCACTGTTCCACGTTATAGAGATAAAGCAGTGAAACACACACATATACACACAATTCCTTGCTCTCATGAAACTTAGATTCTTCTGAAAGGAGAAAGACTGTAATAAATAAAAAATGTATATAAGCTATTACATGGTAATAATATTGTGGAGAAACAAATATGACAGGAAAGGGTCACTGGTAAGATAGGGGCTTGGAATTTTAAATCAAGTATCCAGAGAATGTCCCACTGCAAAGGTGATATGGGAGCACAATCTGGAAGCTGATGGGGGAAGAGCAGGGAAGGGCATTACAGGCAGGGGAACGTCAAGTGCAAGGCTCTGAGGGGAGAGTCTGCCTGGTGAGTAGCAGGTGATGGCAGCGGGTCCAGAGGGGGCAGATCCTGGAGGGCTTTCTAGGTCATTGTAAGGACTTTGCCTTTTCCTCTGAATGAAATAGGGCTTTAAGGAGAGGAATAAGGTGATCTGACACATTTTAACAGGATCTCTCTGGCAGCCGTGCGGAAGTCAAGGTGAAAGAAGGGGGCCTAAGAAAAGGTACATTGCAATAAAGTAAGCCAGAGATCATAGTGGTGCCATCAGGATGCTTTGGTGGACGTGGCTAGGAGTGGTTGGCTTCTAATTATATTTTAGTATTAGAGACAATAGAATTTGTTAAACGAATTGGATGCTAAGCATAAGTGAAGGAGATTAGTGAGAAAAACCAATGACATCTCCAAAATTTGGGGTTCCACCAGCTGGAATAACAGAGCTAGCTTTGACCAAGAGACAGAGCAAGGAGCAGGTTTTGTGATGAAGATGAAAGTTTAATATTGAATATGTTAACTTTGCCTATCTATGTGAAGATATTGAACAGGCAGTTGAATATATAAGCCTGGAGTTCAGGGGACAGTTCTGGGCTGTAGATACAAATTTGGAAGTCATTGTATATGCACGGCATTTAAAGCATGAGTCTAGAAGAGATTACCAAGGGAATGGCAGATGGAAAAGCTGCAGGCAGTCCACGATTAAGTTGTCAGGAATATGAGGAAGAACTAGCAAAGGAGACTGAGAAGGAGCCTCCAGGAAGTACAAGAAAAACCGAGAGAGGATAGTATCTTGGAAGGCAGATGAAATATTTCAATGATCAGTCATGTAAAATGAAAGTTAGGTGAAGACTGAGAATTGACTCTTGAATTTAGAATGTGTAGTCATTTGTGCCTCTAACAAAAACAGGTTCAGTACAGAAGGGCTGAAAGATCAAGAGAGAATGGAAGAAAAATTGGGAAGAGAGAGTGGAGGCAATCCTTTCAAGGTGTTTTCCCCCAAGGAGAGCAGAGAATTGGGGCAGCAACTGGAAGGGAGTGCAGAGTCAAGGGGGCACATTGAACATGGGAGAAATGTCAGCATTTTGTATTCTGATGGAAAAGATCCAGTTAAGAGGAATGACTAGTGATGTAGAAGAGAAAGGGGGAAATTGCTGGAGCACAAGTGGAGTGTGTGTTATGCTGAATGCCCTCCAAGGATGTCCACACTCTAACTTTGGAACCTGGGATTGTGTTAAATCACACAGCAAAAGGGACTTTGCAGATGTAATTGAGGTTATGGATCTTATAGTCGGGAGTTTTATCCTGGATTATCTGGGTGTGCCTAGTCTAATCACATGAGCCCTTAAAAGCAGAGAACATTTTCTGGCTGGCAGAAGAAGAGAGATGCAGCAGACGGAGAAGTCAGAGAGATTCCAAGTTTGAGAAGGATTCAACACACCACTACTGGCTCTGAGTCATACAGCCCATGTGCAAGGACCAGAAAGAGGTCTCTAACAGCAAAGGGTGGCCCTCCAACAAACGGCCAGCAAGAAAATAGGCACCTCAGTCCTACGACTGCAAGGAACTGGATTCTGCCAACAACCTGAATGAGCTTGGGAACGGGGTCTTCCCCAGAGCCTCCAGAAAAGAACACAGCCCTGCTGATACCTTGTTTTCAGCCTCAAGGGACTCTAAGCAGAGTATCTAGACACACCTACCTAGAGAAACATGAACAAATAAATTTTGTATGAGTTTGTTTCATCAGTGATACAAAACTAACATAGAGTTACTGGCTATGGAAAGAAGCATGGATGGTTCCTCCATAAACACAGAAGGGAAAACAGAGTAAATGGCAGGTGGGTTGCAATGGTGATGCAAGATTGTGAACATTCTCTGTGACTTCTAATTTCTCCGTGAAGTAAGAATTAAGAGTATTGTCTAAGAGAGAGGAAAGGAGAGGTGGTGGAGGTTTGAGGAGGGAAGATATAAAATAGTTACCCAGGAGAGGAAAGAGCGTGAATTACTATAGAAGTATAACGGCCAAGAGCACTTGGGCCTATTTGAGTCCAGTCTTCATTAACTAAAGTAATACCAGACAGCATGTTACCTGTACAATATCCATGAGACATCCAAATAGAAATATCAGGTAAGCAGTTTATGTACAATTCTGGAGAGCCATGGATAGATGAAATGATATTGAAAGCCATGGGAGGGCATGAGTTCACTTAGGAAATGAGAATAGACTCAAAAGCTAAACTCCGAAATCCTCCAGTA